CCCCCTAGAGGCTGGTCCAGTTCTGGTTTGCCACTGGGGGTGCTGGCTTCTGCATCAGCCGGAAACTGGCTTTGAAGATGGCCCCATGGGCCAGGTAAGCAGAGACCCCCAGGTGGGTGGGGGAGGGTGGGGGTTGCTGAGAGCAGGTGGCGCTTGGTGTATGCACGGGGACTTTGCAGCAGGAAGGTCTTAAGCGATAGCCCAGGTCACACCGTATGCAGGAGGCTCTGCTGTGCCAGCTGGTCCCAGGAGAGCCTTCTGGGAGGCAGGGTGGGCTCTAGGTGTCGAGGGTCCAGGCCAGTGGCCATAGCACGGCTCTACCCCACAGTGGCCCCCGCTTCGTGGACACATCTGCGCTCATCCGGCTCCCTGACGACTGCACGGTGGGCTACATAATCGAGTGCAAGCTGGGCGGCCGCCTGCAGCCCAGCCCCCTCTTCCACTCCCACCTGGAGACCCTGCAGCTGCTGGGGGCTGCCCAGCTCCCGGAGCAGGTGAGCGGCCCCAGGGCACGTGGCAGTGGGGAGGTGCTCATGTTTTGGGCTGTCCCCCTATTGACAGGGGAACTGAAGCCCAGGGTGGCAGAGGACCCCTTAAGGCAGCGGTTCTCAACCTGTGGGTCGCGACCCCTTTGGGAGTCGAACGACCCTTTCACAGGGGTCGCCTAAGACCATCGGAAAACACATATATAATTACATACTGTTTTTGTGATTCATCACTATGCTTTAATTATGTTCAGTTTGAAACAATGAAAATACATCCTGCATATCAGATATTTACATTACGATTCATAACAGTAGCAAAATTACAGTTATGAAGTAGCAACGAAAACAATTTTATGGTTGGGGGCCACCACAACATGAGGAACTGTATTAAAGGGTTGCGGCGTTAGGAAGGTTGAGAACCGCTGCCTTAAGGGCATACAGTGACTCTCCGCCTTCAGACCTCCAGGGATGTGATGCTAAAATTCTTTGAACTGGTCCCCAAGTGCCAGCTGGAAGGACCTACCCAGATGGGACGAAGCTTGTCTTCAGGTTCAGATAACCTTGCTCCCAACCCGCTGCCTCCTGTCCCTCTCTCCTTTCTTCAACCTGCCGTCCTCTTCACATCCCTCCGAAGGGACCAGCCCTGCCCTGGCAGCTCTGCCCTTTGTCAGCGGTCCCTCCCTCCCTTCCTCAGAGCTTCCCTGCCCACTGCTCGCTGCTTTTCCTTCTAACCCAGACGTTACTGGGAAGGACCGGTCTTCGGTGAGGACATTGAAGCATGAAGTCAGGCTCGGGGAGGGGTAATGGCTACTGAGGTCCCACTGGCTCGGCCTTGCGGATGCTCTTCTCCAGCTCATAGGGTCCAGCCCTGTAGGTGGTCCTGGCTGGGGGGCCCCTGGCATCTTCTGCCCAACAGTGCCAGGCAGAGCCCTTTCGGCAGCCAGTGATAGCAAAGCAACAGGGACTGGATAAACGACAGGACGGTTATGGGCCCGTGCGCCTGCGAAGCTGAGGGCTTGGCTGGACTCGCTGGGCCTGGCTCTAGGGGTCTGTCCCCTTGTTCACCTGCCTTCCCCCACGCTGGCCCGGTTCTCAGGCAGCTCGCCCGCTTGCTGGCACGCCGGCAGCCCAGGTTTCTCTCACCCGGAGGAGGAGGGTGCCTCCTTCCGCAGATCCCAAGGCTGCGCTCACTGGTCAGGCGGCCTGCTTGGGTCATGTGACGGGTCTCCTGTCAGCGCCCAGAGTTAGTGTAGGTCACTAGGCCTGGAGCTGGCTGTGGGGTTGGTCCCATTAGCACCTCAGGGCCTGAAGCCAGGAAAGGGGGGCAGATTTGAGGCAACCAAACCGGGGCACCTGAATGGGGTAACCAGGGCACCCTATGGGCTTTCCAGAGCACTCACTGTGTCGGGCACCACGCTGGGGCCTTATCTTCTTTAACTCCCTGGTTTCTCACAACACGCACAGGAGGTTGGTGCTAACATTTCCATTCCACAGATGGAGAAACTGAGGCCCAGAGAGCGGAACTAGCCATGGCCACATGAGTACATGGCAGAGGGGGATTTGAGCCCTGGTGGGGTGACCCCTAAGCTGACAGTCGATAGCCACTGCCCTTGACAGCCTTGGACTGGGGTCGTGATCCCGAGTCCCTGCTGCTTGCAGAGAACCGGAGGCTCTGGGTAGGGGAAGGGGGATCTGAGAGGGCCCACAGTGAGCCTCGGGAAACCTCCACCAGGCACACAGCGTACTGGAAAGATGCCTTCCCTCTCGGCCTCAGTTTCCCAACCTGTGGATGAGGGAATCATTGCAGCCTCCTAGTGAGCTGGACTGCTGGGGCTGCAATGGGATTTGGGCCTGAAGGTGCGCTTCACACTTAGAGTGCTGGGGGGGTCGGGGGGGGCTCCTCAGTGACGCACCCTCCGCTAATGGTGTTTCAGGCGCAGAGGCAGGCTCTCTGAGCCTTCAAAATGCCTTGTGTGCCTTCCTGCTTCCCCCCAATTCTGCCCCCTTGTGGCGTCCCCATGGAACACCCCTCAACCCTCCCCCCTCTTCTCTGCTTCTCCCTGCCCAGGTCACCCTCAGCTACGGTGTCTTTGAGGGGAAGCTCAACGTCATTAAGCTGCAGGGCCCGTTCTCCCCCGAGGAGGACCCCTCCAGGTGGGTCTGGGGCTGAAACTGTTGAACGGGAGGAATGGGGGCTGAGCCCAGGCACCCAAAGGTGGGCGAGCCAGGAGGGAGGGGTGTGAGAGAGGCCCTTGGGCTGACAGCACAGAGCTGGGAGTGAAGGGCATGATGTTAGTCCCTGCTCCACCACTGGCTTGCTGTGTGATCTTGGGCAAGTGCCTTGCCCTCTCTGGGCCATAATCTCCCCATTTTGTAACCCCAGGAGGCTGGGTGCTGTGGATCTGGAGGCCCTCCCAGCCCCGGTCCTCTGGAATATGGGAATGTCTTCACTGAACAAGGACCTGCTCCCATGGAGGACCTGCAGGCCCCGCTGGGGAAGTGTTATTTGATCTTTGTTTCCTTGATTCTCTTCAGTGGCTCTTTTCTGTGGGTAGAAGATTGGAATGGGGGCTAAGATGTCACCTGGGCACCTCCTGGTTCTGCCCTAAACTGGCCCCAGGTTGATTGGGGCTGCTCAGCTCAGCCCTGGCTGCCGTGGAGCAGCTCAGAGCACAGCCTGTGACCCACGGTGGCAGGAGGGACGAGACCTGCTCCAGGAGGTAGAGGATGGCAGTGGGACTGGAATGTGGGACAAGAGAGGAGGGTGGTGCCGATTCTTCTCCCCGCAAGGCCTTGGGTCTGGACTTTGGATTTATCTGAATTATGTCACCCATGGGGGACCAGGCCTCCTGGCTCTGAAGTTCTGCACAGCTGTCTGTTGGGGCGGGGGGTGCAGAAGACATGATTATTCCAAGGGCTGGGGGCCAGGGGGTTCCTTCTAATGGGGTGAGCTCCCCATCAGTGGAGGTGTGCAAACTGTGGCTGTGCTGCCAGGAGGTTTAATAATTGCTGTTACGTTCTCTAAGCCCGAAGATTCTAGGGTCCATGGGTTATTGCTGAGAGGCTGGAGCGACTGGGACTAGGCTATGCAGGGTTGGAAGGCCCCGGCTCAGCTGGGCCTCCTCTGGCTCCGCTGGCCTTGGAGGCGTCCCTGAGGCAGCGGTTCTCAGCCAGGGCCCCTGAGGACACCTGGCCATGCCTGGAGACATGCTTGAATGTTACCACGCAGGGCAGTGAGGGCGAACCTTTTGAGCTCGGTGTGTCAGCATTTTGAAAAACCCTAACTTAACTCTGGTGCTGTGTCACATAGAGAAATTTTTTGATATTTGCAACCATAGTAAAACAAACACTTATATTTTTGATATTTATTTTACATATTTAAATGCCATTTAACAAAGAAAAATCAACCAAAAAAATGAGTTCGCGTGTCACCTCTGACACGCGTGTCATAGGTTCCAGAGTCAGCAAGGATCGAGATGCTAACGACATGTAGTGGGCAGAGTCCAGGGGACGCGGCTAAACATCCCGCAACGGACGGGACAGCCCCACAACGAAGAACTCACAGTCCCAAATGTGAATAGTGCTGAGGCGGAGAAACCCCGCTCCAATCCGTCCTTGTGACGTGCGCCCCCCCTCCTGCCCCCCAGGAGCCCGCGGGGTAAGGGTAGGAGTGGGGTGACGCCTGGTCCGTTTCTGGTCTCTCCTCAGGTTCCGCTCCCTGCATTGTCTCCTCTACCCCGACACTCCCTGGTGCCCACAGCTGGTGGCCCGATGAGCCCGGAACTGCCGGGCGACTGTGGAGCTGAGGCCTCTGGTGGTCCCTCGCCTCCCAAGGCAGCCCGAGGGCCTGCGGCAGTGCCCTGGGTGGGCAGTCCCCGGCAGGGCTTCCGAGTGGTGGGCAAGCCCAGGATCGGATGGTGGCTGGTGGTGAAGGCATCCCAGGCTCCGGAGACGTGGGTCGGATGGCCCGGGAACCCGGTGGAGTCAGAGAGGCCCCAGGGGCTGGGCTCCCACGGGCCCTGGGTGGCTGAATTGAACAGGGTGGGGGCCATTGAGTTGGCCTGGGGCTCAGGAGTCTGAAACCTCAGCAACATTACAGGGGCTTCTGGGTGGGGGGTGGCCCCAGCTCAGCTCTGGTCTCTGTCACTCCCTGGGTCAAGCACTGGGCCCGCCACTCACTGCTGGGTCCCTGGGCCTGATCCGCAGCCACTGGGCACCAGGGGGAAAGGCGGCCGAGGGCAGGGTCTGTGGCAGGTGCTGTGGTTGCTGGCCGTCTCCAGCTCCTT